AGTTCGTGTGTTCGATCCTAGCTTCGTGCAAGGATTGATTTTGTGTTTTGATAGTTTAAGTTTCAGAATGATATAATGGGAATTTATATTCTCGATTTCGTTCTGGTTCAAGATTAAAGCTTAAACCTACTGTGGGTTCGATCCTCTCTTCAATGCATCAAGAACAGATTACAAGCGCCCCATCTTGCAACTAGGCTATGGCAGATAAACTGTCTTAAAAGCGTCTTGCCGGCGCAAGTGTCTCACAAGTGTCTTAAATGTGCCTTCATCGCAGTAACAAATAAGTCACTTTGGGTTTTGTAAGATGCATTTAAGACACTTGTAAGCTGCATTTCAGGGTAGACACATGATATACGACACATTATTTTTTAGTGTGTTTATATTGCTAATAAAATAAAATATGTCCGATTCGAAGTGCGGATTCTTTTTAGTGCACGTTTTCATTGAGAAAAGTCGATAATTTCTGCAAAAAAGAAAAGCTGATGTGTTCGTTTGGTTCGACTCTGACTGTGACTCTGAAGTGATTCTCGAACTAACAATCTCTAACTTCGAGTATCTTTTGAAATAATTATCCATTTTTCCCAGTTAATCTTGTTACTTCTACTTCGTGTATGCGAAGAGCTGATTTAATTCCAGTGACGTTGTCGGTGCAAATTTTGAGAGAAGATGAGATTGTATGCCTGCATGTTCCTTCAATCGAATTTTCTGATATTTTTTACCTAGGAATCCAGATTTTCATGCTTGTGGAGCTGAAATAACTCATTTAATTTGCAAATCAGCTGTCCGATTTCAAATCTTTCTTCAGATTTGTTGTAGCTGTTATTTTCGAGGAGTAAAACGGAAAATAATCGTGGTCTAATAGTTTTGAGAGCAACCGTCTTTCTATAAACTAAGCCCAATTTGTGTCTATAGAAGAAACTATAGACATTTTCATACGTCACTACAGGAAAAAAATCGAGATACCGGTCAAGTGTTTTAATACGTTTACAAACGCAATCTTTTAAAATAATGTGTTAAAGAACACTTTTTCAAACGTAGCAAATGTGAGTGAATCAAAATTAACAAACAGTTTCACTCAACCATAAATTTCTTAGCAAAAGGAAGCGATACGATATTACCACACAAGAAAAATGAAAGAAGTAGATGTCTTGTATGATCATTATCAATAGCAAAAAGCAGTCAAGCAAAGACGACGAACAAGAAAGAAGGACCATGAGAGATAAACTAATTACCGTTAATTAGCACTAATTTTAGTTATTAACGGGAAGGAAAGAAATTGTACGAATGTTTCAAGCAGAAATGTAAAGGAAAGTATAGAAAGTAAAAGACTGTATGGAGTAAAGGCAGTAAAAAAATTGTAAGGATCACTCAACCATAAGTTCCTTAGCAATAAGAAGCGATACGCTATTACCACACGAGAAAAATGAAAGAAGTAGATGTCTTGTATGATCATTATCAATAGCATGAAAAAGCAATCAAGCAAAGACGCCGAACAAGAAAGAAAGACCATGAGAGAAAAGACAACTCACCTACCTTTGTAGGAAGAAGAAAAAAGAATCAGGCGCATTTTATCGGGTAAAGATTTTTTAGTATAAGAGGTTCGGAAGAGAAGGTCATTAGCACATCCTTACGGAATTCGAACGAATCATTCACCACAATATCTTTTGTTAGGCATTTGATAACATCAGCTGTGCACAGGAGACTCAGGTGGTTCAACGGACAAAAGTGAAATGATGTCAAAACACGGCTGTTACAAACGGCAGTAAAACGGTCCTGTGTGAATGGTGGAATGCGGCATGTCACGGTGACCGTTTACTGCCGCTCAGAGTACAGCAAAATGTCGGCCTCGATTTTGGTCCACTATCGACAAGGTCAATTCCAGAAAAGGTTTTTTTTTCCAAATTTTCAAAAAATTTGGCTCAAAAACTATTTTATTTGAGTTCGGGATATCAAAAAGCCTTTTAATTTGATATTTAAAATCATTTTTTCAAATTAGCCTTCGAATTTATGAATCTGCATTTTTCTTTGTCCTTTTTTTTCGTCGTCGCCATAAACGACCGTGAACAAAATACAGAGAGTAAATAAGTGCCGTTTTATGAAGCATAGGTTTACCGCGCTCTTACGGATAGCCGGCTGTAAACAAAAATATTCACGAGTGTTTATGACCGTTTATAGCGGCCGGGAATCATGTACCTGAAGCGACTGACGAGAGAAAATCGGATAAGGTATGAAGCATGACGATTTCCCAGAGATGGAAGAAGGTACGAAGTTTGTCGCGAGATCTTTTTAGCTACGAAAACGTTATACTGATAGATGACTGAGTATGTCTTTTAGTTTTCTATTCACTTTAGTCTTTTAGTTTTCTATTCACTTTAGTCTTTTACTGCTGTTACTCGTTTCGATATTTTACTACCTTTACTTCTTTTACTACGTTTAGTCAGTACAGTTACTGATTTTAGTCCTTTTACTCCTTTTAAATTCTGGAATTCATATTTTCTGCTAAAGGACTTTAATCAGCGCCTTCTGAAACAATTAACGGTATCAAGATGTTTTACTATAGGGTCTGTGTTCACTGATATAAAGTTCCGATCAATATTTTTTGAATGAATACTGGTGAGCTGGTGATTTGGCTAGAGTAAACCCAAATGATGAACTAGTTTATTACGATAAAAGCGGTTATCAAGTTGAGAAGTAAAATCCAGAAATAAGAAAGACTAAAATCCCACATGTTTTAATGGCAACAGCGCTAAATGACCAAATATCCACTGATTTTATAATTACAGCTACGAAGAATCAAGAGCAATGGAAAGCACTAAACATTACAGAAGGTATGTAGTATATTTGTACTTATTTTAAAAATGCATTTATAATGGAACTTCTTCCATCTAGTGAAATGCAGGAAAATGAAAAACAGAGCATAGCTAGTCATATTATCGAAGAATACGTCGATTTTTTCGTTAGAAAGAAAAAGAAGTCTCACAATAAAATAAGTCCAGAATAGCCACTCGTCCAACGAACCTTCAGGAAAATCTACGCAAAAAGTTAATTTCATTTTTTTAATTATTTTGTTGACAAGAAGCAAGCACTTTTAACAGCGGATGTTGGATAAACCTAAATCACCAAATAAAACTCAATTTAACATCTTGGATTCATAGTAGGGGTGGCACTTTACCTTTACTTTACTAGTAACTAGTAACGAGAACCAGTAACCAAATAACTAGTGCAGTTACTCGTTACTAGTAACTAACTAATTTAGTTCCTTCGTTAATCTCCTGAAGGTAACGAAGTAACGAATATGTTTTTTTAGGAAAAAGGCATGTTCAATTTCTTGACGGTAATTGTGAGGGGGTGGGTTTTCATTACCAAAAATGTTTTAAAACATCCTCAGAAGCTTACTTTCTTCTGCCTTTCTGCAATAAATGAACTTTGGTCATATTAGGGAAGGTGACTTTTTCATATGAAGATTTATATGTTAGAACGATAGAGAATATTGAAAAGAAGTTGAATATGGCTTTTTCTGTAAAAGAAAATTTCGCTACTTCGTTACTTTCTCGAAAGTAACGAAGTAACTAGATTGGTTACTTAGTTACTATTTGCTAAGTAACTAAGTAAGTAAGTTCGTTACTTTACCTGGTAAAGTAACGCCGAGTAACTAGTAAAGCGCCACCTCTAATTCATAGTAAGTTTTTCTTATCTCACTAATTCATACATCATACTCACTTAAAAGTTGCGCATTTCTGCGTATTCGTATGTTACGTTGTTAGGTAGAAAAAACCTCCTCACGTTTTCATCACGTTGTTCACGGTCATATCCTTCATCTCTTGGTCATACATTCTTTCTTCATCACAACACTTCTGTCGTACCATTTATTGTATTATTTCCTCACGTAGTTTTATATTCCTCTCTCTATTATTGTTACATATATATGACTATATTTTTATGTGTTGAGGAGAATTGAGTAGTTATCTTTTTCTGTTAAATAAACACATGAGGATTATCATCTTCACAACGTGACTAAGAAATGTTGGTGCAATGCGAATGCAAAACACGTTAGACTAACGAAGTATAATAGATCAAACATTTATCTGAAATTGCTTTTCTCTCATTTTGCTAGCTTTTCTCATTTTATAGGTCAAGCATCTTATGCACAAGAACGCATTTGGTTTGACAAACAAGTGAAATCTAATAATGGTAATGATGAAAGAGTGATTTATAATATGCCATGTGTTTATCAAATTCAACGTGGACAAATATCAGTTGAACGAATACAAAGTGCATTGAATTTAATTATAGCGAAGCATTCGATTTTACGTACGTCATTAAAATACGATCAAGAGACACAATATTTGAAACAGTCAGTCAACGAAAAACCGGTGTATTCATTTGAAATATCGACAATTGAAAATGACAAGAAATTAAACGAAATCATAGAAGATGAGAAAACGTCAGACAAATATTTTAATTTAGAGCAAGGTCAAGTATTTCGATGTCATTTGATTCGACGTCAACATGATAATAATGATTTCTTGATCGAAAATGATTTAATTATATTTAATTTTTATCATTGTATAAACGACGAAAGTTCATTAGAAATATTTCTACAAGATTTTAAATTAGCCTATATGACTGATCAACCACAAACAGATCATACAGCGTTTAAGTATATTGATTATTCACAATATGAACGACAACTAGATACGTCTAAAGCAAAAGAATATTGGACAAAACTATTAGATGGATACAATCAAGATAAACAATTGTCACTGCCCTGTGATTATAAACAACTAGATCAACAAATACAACAACACCAAACAGGCCATTGTTCATCAACTGAAATACAACTGAATAGAGAATTGATTAAACAGATGTTAGATTATTCACAAAAAATGAATATAACTATGTTTCAATTATGTTTATCGTGTTACTATTTACTTTTATTTAAGCTAACACAAGAACATGATTTATGCACTGGTTCGATAAACGATAATCGTGATGGTTCAGAACTATCTTCGATGATTGGCACCAACACACTGCCATATCGATTTCAGTTAGATCCATATCATGCATTTGATCAACTCGTACAACAAGTAAAACAATTATGTGTGAACATAGCAGAATTTGCCTATTTACCATATGGAGATTTAATTCAACCACATGAGAAACCATGGTCACTGTTGCTACCATATATACAGATACTATTTGTGTTCCAAAACTTTCATATCGAAGAGGATATTGATTTCGGTGATGGTATCTCACTCTCTCGATTAAGGAATAATACAGATGTAATGAGAACGACAAAATTCGATTTAGCATTTAAAATAAATTACATTCCAATTAAAACTTGTTTACAATACACGCTTGAATATTCAGTTGATCTATTTAAACATTCTACCATCGAAAGAATTTTACAACGATTTCAACAATTAGTTGAACAATTATTTAATTCATCATTTAATAAACAAACTCAACCAGTGTATGAATTATCTTTGATTTTGCCATTTGAAAGACAATTATTATACGAGTTAAATCAGACACATGTCGATTATGGTCCCGAACAGTTAAAATGTATACATCATTTGTTTGTTGATCGCACTCTCGCCTATTCACAAAAAGTATCTGTTGTATTGGATCAACAATCTCTCACCTATTCAGAATTACTCTACTATGTACAATTAGTTTCAATACAACTAATACAAGTCTATAATGTAAAGCCACAACAAATTATATGTCAATGTTTAGAACGATCAATTGAAATGGCTATTGGAATCTTATCTATATTAACTTGTGGCGCTGTCTATGCTCCTTTGAATCCTCAAGATCCAACAGCTCGACTTCATTCATTATTACAAGATACTCATTCGAACTATGTTTTGATTCATCAAGCTACCAGAGAGAAAATACCTATCATGGGAAATATTGATTTTATCGACATTGTACATTTAACACGTTCAAACACAAGTTTACTGGATGAAGACTTATTTCTAATGTCAAGTATAAGAACAAATGCTGAACAAAGCGCTTACGCTATCTTCACGTCTGGCTCAACAGGTTTTCCAAAAGCGGTAAAGATTAGCTTACCAGTTGTTTTTATTTATAATTCATATTTACTTTTCTAAATTAGGCCCAGATTTCTCATGCAAGCTTTGTCTCCTCAATCAAATCGTTTGAGTTCCTGAAAGTATTTGACTCGAGTGATATAATTCTACAGTATTGTCCCTGCTCTTTTGATGTCCATGTTCAAGATATATTAGGTTCTTTAACGCATGGGTCAATATTGATTCTACTTCATCCGAATGGTCAGTATAATCAAACATATTTAGCAGAAATAATTGCACAAGAACAAGTTACATATTTCAATATGGTACCATCATCACTGGCAACATTTTGTGATTATCTGGAATCTGCACACAAGTTTACGTGCTTGAAAACGATTCGTTCTTTTGGTTTACTTGGTGAGCATTTTTCATAGCAATATAAAATGCACAAATGTAGAACATTTTCCGTTTTAGGTGAACCACTATTGACAAAAACTCTCTGTTTACTATCTGAAAACATTTCTCTTGCTACTTCCAAAATTTATAACCTATACGGCCCAGCTGAATGCACATTTGCGTCTGTTTATCATATCGTTACGTCTGAAAATCTACAAAAAGGTATTATACCAATCGGTGTTCCGTTTCCAAACTATCAGTGTTATATATTAGATGATTATTTACAACTTATACCAATAAAACAATCTGGCGAACTGTTTATTGATGGTTCTGGACTATTTCTTGGGTATTTAAATCGACCAGATTTAACTGAACAAGTGTTGATTGACATACCTTGTGTAAAACACAAATGTTACAAAACAGGCGATTTATGTCGATTAGATGAAAATGGTCTGATACATTTCATCGGTAGAAAAGATTTTCAAGTAA